AAATCAAACTTCACGCGTGCGAGCGTATGCGCCGTCGCTATATAGCGAGCACCTCCCAACCGCTCCCTGCACTTCACCTCTTTCGGGCAGAGCGGTTCGAGTTGCACAGCGAGCGCCCGACCGTCTCCAGATCTGCAAGTGACACAGACACACATCGCTCGCGATTTGCAAGGGCCACAGGGATCCGCTTGGCAAGCGCGCCGAGCGCTCCGGATTTGCAAGGGGAAGGGGCTATTAGGTTGTCACGCCTTCATGCTCAGAAAGTGATTGGTGCTTACACAGTACCCGTGTACTTGCAAAACGTTAAATCCTTTTAGATTTACTGATGACCCAGATGCAACCGCGGCGTTCCTATGTTGTGACCGCGGCTTCGGTTCATGACGATTTGCAGTAGAGTCGCCGCGTCTCACGCAATGCTTCACTTAAATTTGTCGCTGCAGTGTAACAACCTCTTTCTTTGTTTATCTTGCTTGCCAAAACGTAAGCCTGATTTACACATGCATGTTCGAAGCGACCAAAGCGACTACGAACAACAAAAACTGGCTGGAGTGACGAGCCTAGCAATGCTCCAAGCTCGTCGTTCCGGTCGTTCCTAATTGCGGTCGGGTCGAACGTGCATGTGTGAATTAAGCTTTGAACTTTGGCATGCACTTCTATCATTACAGGGTCCGCACAGTGCACTTATGCGGGCCGCAAAGCCGGGCTTTGTTTTTTCCGGCAGACCCTGTAGTTTTAATAGCCCTGCTACTCTTCGTTGTACCTTCATTCTACCAAGTACTCGTAGCGCTGCGGTGCCGCAAAGTTTTTTTATGTGATTAATATCCTAGCTAACTCAATCCACTTTTTAATTGTCCTAGCAAATAAAATAAAACCTGCACAGCTCTGGCTGTCCTTGCATTGTATTCCCAAATTTTGTAAATCTGGCATTTTTATAGTGAGAAAGCTCAGGGGTAGACTCATTACAATGTTCCCTCAATTTTGTTGAGTATTAAAATTTCTTGCATGCATGTTTCTTTTCTCTTCAGCTAGACGACAGAAGGAACATCACGCAAACTCACTGCACTTGTAGAGGTGGTGTCTCAGGGCAGTGCAAGCATTCAGAAGCAATGATTATGTATTACTGCTGCATACCTGCCAACTCTTTCGAATTTTTCGTAAAATGTACAAATTGGTACTAATTTTACGATTTTACGAATCTTGCTTTACATCTTACAAAAAAAAAAAAATTTAACATCTTTTTTTGTATAATTGTTCCTGGCGGTATCTTGCACCACCACAAGAGGGCGATACGTACCGTCCATGGCAGCGTCGTGGTTTTTACTATCTGTCTATCCGGTGGTCATGTATCCAAAACCAATCCAAAGCCCAAAGCCTTTGTTCGTGTGTTCGACAGCGCTTGTTGGTTCGGCGTGTTCAGATGTGGTTGGGCGTTTCTGTTTCGGCCAGTTTCGAGGCGAGGAGTGCGGCCTCTGTGTTTGTTGCACATGTAATCGTAGCATTCCCCTGGTCGCGGGGGCTTCGCGGCTCAATGGCGAACTCCAAACCTCAAAAGAGGTACTTTCAGGTGTTCATGAAGCCCTACACGGTAAAATTCCCGTGCCTCGTGCCGTATAAAAAGGGAGAGAAGTTTGGATTCTGTAACACGTGCATGTGTGATGTAAGCGTTTCGCACGGTGGCAAGGCTGACATTAAGCTGCACATCGTTTCGCGTAAACCTCCCGGCGGCGGCGGAAGTTTTACGAATTTGAAAGTTCACAGGTTGGCAGGTATGCCGCTGCTGAATGCTTTTACATATTCAGCAGCGCGGATTACTGCCATACGACAAATTCTTTCATTGCATTTTTCCGAAAACAGTGTACTGTTGTTGCTGCCCGACAAAGCGCAGACGAGTTGAGAAACTGTGAAACTACGTCCCCGTGGGGCATGACGTGTACCTGTTGGTACAACCTACCACGCAGCAATTCATGATACCAATTAACAGCGCATTAACGACGCAGTGGCGGCTCCGCGGCGGCAGAATTGGTATGGCAACGGCAGCGGCACGGCGAGGTTTCCCTCTACTAGGATTCTCGAAGCCTATCTTCTCTGACAGCTGCGTGGCGGCACATCAGCTGCCGTACATGGAGTGTATGGACGTTTAAGGGATGGGGGAAGGTTCTACGCTTTCAAACATGGCGGCCTCAGTGAATGGCGGAGATGAGGGTTCTGCGGCTGAACCGAATTTATTGATGAAACTATCGCATTTACAAAACGAAGTTGGAAGATATGTAATAACGTCAAATGGGTTTCAGCGGCATAGTTTCATGCAAATGGTCTTTAATAGCTTGGTTAGGTGAAGTCCTCTTATTCAGTGTGTTGCTAGAATGTGATATTATGGTAGATATGTTTCTTAATACATGCCCATGTGAGATGTGATGTGCTGTACACAAGAGATACCATTTTGCCAGGATTATTTTTAAACAAGCTCTCTGAAATTCTTTTTTGTGGGTACATCCAGGACTCCTGGCGCGTTGCCATGCGATATAAAGCAAAACGTGAACGGTCAAAGCTGCGGATGCAGGACAACACTGAAAAGCAGGCTTCACCTTGGAATCAGCCGCGGGCATCGAGGGACCCTAACCCAAAGCGGGTGACGAGGCCTGGGACGGTAGGAGAGATTGTTTCATGGAGACTCTTTTCTATTTTAATGGGGCACTAAAGTGCTTTCTTTACATCCTCGTTTTATGGTCACCAAGGTAGAAGAAGCATCCCAAAATATCTAAAATTACTAACATGTGCGGCCAATTTGCATATTAAAAAAAGTGATCAAAGATCCTGACACCCTTGACACAGAATGACTGACGGCGCTCGTCAGCTACTCGCAAGTGATGGGTTCCCACGTGGAGTCATGACCATAAAACGAGGTTTCAAAACGCACTTTAGTGCCCCTTCAAGAATTAGTAAGCCTTGATACTAATTTTTTTTACTTTTGTGTAATATATGTCAGAACATAGTGCTGCCAGCACATGGAGAGGATGCCGAAAGCCTGCAGGGCCATATCATCAACATGGAAAAAGAACTGCGAAAAGCAAATCCAAATGTCGCCTATGTTTCTGACTCCATGTCGAGGACACTTGCTACACGGCGGGCATGGATAACCACTGATCACCCAAGTGTGGCAGCCATTGCTGCAAAATACCCTGCTTTTGAACATAGCAGTTTTGTAAGTATTATTGAAGGTAGGATTTTAAAAGGGCTGTGCAACTATTTTAACATTAAAAAGAATTCTTAGTTTGTAATTTTTAGATTGTTTTACCTTGTCAAGTGATAGAAGTAGCTTCTCTTTCCTCGGAAATAATGCCATAACTTTGAGGAATCGAAAAATGAAAACGGACTATTTCTCTATCTGCATTCGCAACGTGGCGGCAGTGTGAAACATGTAGCACTGCATTACTGAGGGATGATGTTATAAGTGTCCTCTCTGTTGGGATGGTGGCACCATCTCCTTGTGTTGACTAAAACCATGTTCTACGCTCTTTTGCCTGTCGTGCGACCTTGACGTCAGTGGTGCTCATATCTTACTTGCGTCACTACCACGGGAACCGGACGTCTCCTCGAAATTAAAAAAGCGTCTTACGTTTGAATCTTTTTTTTTTTTAATGAAAATTTGGGCTTGTAGGAAAAAAAACTGTTTTCTATTCTAGAGATGGTGAAGACTAACTCCCAGGCTTAACGTCCCAAAGTTCGAAAATTGTTGCACAGACCCTTTAAACGGGCACTGAAGACCGTTTTGAGATCCTCATTTTGTGGTCATAACTAGGGTTTGGTGTTTTCTGTTCAAAGCGATAAAAGTATGCCGAATTAACTTTCGGAAATTCGGTTGATCCAGTCTTCCTGTGTCAAGTTTGCTCTTGTCCTCTCAAGATAGAGTCTCAACTGCTGGCATTGTATTTTATTCCTTTGATTTTTTCTCAAAGAGAGAGAGGGCAGGTCATCTTGTCTGATCTAATTCAGGTTGTATTGTAGGGGACACCGAAAAAAAACACGCTACTACCTAGCACACACCATCACGCTTCCACTTTGGTTAAAGGAAATTCAGTTTGCTGCTGTACGAGCATGTTGCCAGTAAAAACTAAGCAGCTTTGGCAGTCCTCAAAATGGGAAGGAAGAGAAGGCATGCCAAAAATAATCATTGTCTAGAACAGCACATAGAGTCTGCGCACCACATCAAAGTGAAAACTACACTGTCCTAATTTGTTTAAGGAAAATTGAAAATACAGCAACAGATAAAATAGTTAAGTGCCTAATGTACTGCACTTTAGATGGACAAGCATAAAAAGAGTGTATTTCATCATTACATATTCATCGACAAAAACCGGTTAACTTGCATCTGTAATATACTTACCAATAAAAACCAGAAACATCATTTAGAAAAAAAAAAAGAACAAAAGTATGCCGAATTTCAGAGGAAAAAAAAGAAAAAACGCAGAACCCTAATCATAACTTAATATAAGAAGCATCCTTTAAAACCCGAAATTACATTCATGCATGGCCGATTGCCTTATTAAAAAAAAGTGATCAAAGATTGCGACAGTTACCGTTGTTGGGGACAGACACATGGTGCTACCAAACCTTCCTGAATATGGTCGAACGACGGACAGTGCTCGGCAGCCAGCTGCGAGCGATGGGTTCCCGCCGTCCACACCGGAACCTATCGCTTGCAGCTGGCTGATGAGCATTGTCCGTCGTTCAACCATATTCAGCAAGGTTTCGTAGCACCATGTGTCCGTCTGCAACAACGGTAACTCACAGTCTTTGATCACTTCATTAATAAGGCGATCCGCCGCGTGTGAATGTAATTGCGGGTTTTTTAGGACGCTTAGAACTCGTAGACCGAGTTATGATCATAAAAGCACTTTAGTGCCCCTTTAAGTGTTCCAGAAACACAGTTCACTTGCCTTGACATCTTTTCTTTTTTAATACAGTTGCAGCAAGAGTTTACTGCTGTGACAAGCAAGCCAATGGAGGTCAGCTTGGCGGCCTGCCTGCCCGAGAGCTGCCTGCGGATCTTGGATGCCGCTAGGAAGAAGCGACACCTGTGTAGCTTTTTCGAGGATCTGGATCGACGGGTCGCACAAGGGGACAAAGGCCCGGAAGATGGTAGGACTTGATGGTTCAAATAACTTGGGGTTGATAAGATGAATACTGCAGGAAGGCTACAATGCTCAGTCTTCCTGTGCTTAATCTTTGTTTAGATAGATTAGGTAGAAAGGAGAGAAATGTACTATTTGGGCGTGTTGGTTGCTTTTATACACTTAGAAAGAGGAGACACATAAGGGATGACACAGACAGGGCAATCTTTCACCTTTGACTACATTTCTTTTAGACTTCAAGCACGGCGTACAACCATTCTGTGGGAAGAAGATAATGGGTAAATGCTTGGGGGAAGGGGGCGCAAAACGATTGCAAGCCAGGAGGAATGCGAAGGTATGGACACGAATAACGCTGCTTTGGATTCCTAACATGCAATTTTTATTCACGGGGGAAAATGCCCTGGCTGCGCTCCTAATTTCGCTGCCATGACGAATTTGGGGAGCCACTGCAAGTTTGTCAGAGAAATAATCTAGGCTTTTTGGATGTTGACTGAGCCCACAGAATATTAGGTTCCCCACCCATCTCTCTATAGACGTTGAGCATTGAAAAACACGGTAAGACAATGAGTTCAGCAGAGTCTACTACACAGACGCCCCTTCTCGCTGTAATTCCCATCTGCCCCCCCGCCCTTTCCGCTTAGAAGCATCTTTGTATGCCAATCCTTTTGCCCCCCCCCCCCCCCCCCCCCTCTGACTTAAAGGGGCCCTGCAATCATATTTAGGCGTTTACCTTTTTTGTGGTTTCCAGGTCTCTTGGGGTTCGGGCAAGCCAGCAGGCACGGAGAGAGTAACTAAATATCAGTGCGTCATATTTTAACCGGACGACGCGGAACCTCCACCACCGACGAGGGCGACTCGCGTTGGCGAAAGCGCGCGATATCTGACGTCTTTGGTCCTGGGCTTACTACTGGTCAGAACCGCTAAAATCTTTTTTTTAGTCGAGATACAAAATATAAGTGTCGCGAACCGTTTCAGTTATGTATGAAAGTAGTTTTTGTTCTGTAAATGAGATCAGAAAAGAAAAAAATGCAGTTTATAAAGTACGGAAACACGAAATGACCCGTCGACATACCCTCCACCAAGCGGCGAAAAAAACGGCGCATACTAGAAAGGGCTATTGCGACGAGGCGCCGACGAACGGCGTGCGTAGAAAGGTCCCGGATGTACGCGGCGGCGCTGTGGTCGAGGATCCGACCGGTTCCGAGCGTTCAGAAGGCTTTCGGCGCCGGCTTTGCTGGCGGTTTTGCCATTTGGCGGTATGGCAGCGCGAAGTGGCTCCCGTTCTGCACTGATATTTACCCCGTGTTTGCTGTCGTTTGTGGCCAATGAAGTGTTATGCCGAATTAGTCTTTAATCGTGCAGCAAATGCAATGCGAGCCGCCCTGACCGCCTGCTTCATACAGCCTATCCAACGCGCGCTTTAGTGGCGCCCTCTCGAGCCGTCGACATGGAGTGCGGCAGCCGTGAGCGCTCGATGAGCTCACTATCCCTCCTCTAGTTCACGGCCGCTCAAGCCAGGACCTACTACGTTATGAAGGAGGTTATTTTTTGCTTGTTTTTCTGATTCTAATTTGCCTAAAACTTTTAAACTAAAGCGAAATTTGAGAAAAGAAAAGTTTCATTAAGTTTCTACGTTCAGTGCGCTCAGGATCGGTGCGAAATAAAAATCAGTCAAAAAGTTGTTGCAGGGCCCCTTTAAGCATTTTCCTATTTTCTTTTTCCCATGGAGTGGGGCACCATGCTTGATAAATGTAGTTAAAGTTGAAAGATGGTCCCATCTGTGTCGTCCCCTATTCATTTCCTTTTTCTAGTTGTTTGAGAGAAATGTTGCATGTGCTCTGTAATAGTTTGTTATCTAGTCTCAATAGTATTAAGTTTCAGCCAACATGCCTTATTCGCGTTGAGACCTAGACTTAGCTGTCTAGGTCTCAACCTAGACAGCCTTCAATCTGTCTAGGACAACCTAGACAGATTGAAGGCGATGGAAGCGTGCTCTTGCTTGTCTATGGTTTCCTATGAGGCATGTGGTAATCAGGGTGTCTACCAATCTGGAAAACCTGGAATTCTCAGGGACTTTTGATCATCTGGAGAAGTCAGGGAATTATCAGGGAAGTTAGAAAGTTGGCTACCGTATTTATTCGAATCTAGGCCGGCTCCGATTCTAAGCTGACCCCAGAAAGTTTGAAGCCAGCAAAAACAAAAAAAAAAACTGGCCTCGAATGTAGGCCGAGCCAAAAGACGAGGACACCATTCACAAAAATGAGACATTTATTGGACATGAAGATGTTCAATCTTCATGTTCACCGGATTATGAAGAGGCTGTGGTGACGGCCTTTCACCGGACCACGAAAAGGCCGTGGCGACGGCCTTTCGTGGTCCGGTGAAATCCATCCTCGTTGCGGCGCACTCAAATATCCTCTCCCGTTGCCTCCTCCAACGACGGACAGTTCTTTCATCCTTGCTGAAGTCCCGCCCGGCTTCAACGTTCGACGACAACTCTGCGGCTGAAACAACTTTTCTTTTAAAAGCGGAACTATTATGGCAAAAAAACGCCACGCCGCACGCAGGCGTGCGGCGTGGCGTTTCAAGTATCAATGCAGGTGATACTTGATAGTGGTGGTACTTGATAACTCCCTATCTACTTAAGTGGCTACTGGCTCGGCTAGTAATGGCTACAATACTTTCTTTTCTAGGTGGTGCCAGCTGCGCGCTACTTTAATTTTCCTTGGAAATTGGCACATGTTTCAAAAACCTCGAATCTAAGCTGACACTAGAGTTTGATGTATTGGTATTGGAAAAGACTATCGGCCTAGATTCGAATAAATACGGTAAATCAGGAAAAATTACCAGTGAAAGTGGCGTGGCAGTCTGGATTGAAGGCGATGGTTATGCATCGGCACAGCCATGCTAAATAATGTTTCCCAGAGTTTGTCAGGGAGCTTTATCAAAATAGTCGGGAAGAAATTTGGAAAAGTCAGGAAATTTGAACTCAGTAATTTGGTAGACACCCTGGGTAATTCCCTTATGTCCACAAAGCAGCTGAGTTCCAGGCATTTACACTAAAAACACGGAAAAGGGTACAATGCACAAGCTCTTAGCTTGAAGGGTTGATTTCAATGCACAAGCACGTGCATTACATTCGGGCCTACCTCAGCCTCGACCTCAGGTCTGTAGCATTCTAGTAGCTAAGAGCAAAACCTAGTTTCCGAGTAAGAGTAAAATAGATAGTTGTACGCCTTTTCATCATATCAGCCATGATGCTTGTATATCGAAGAGAGTAGAGGTTTTCATATTCTGAGGCAGCATAAGCCAGAAATATTCTTAAGCAACCTTCTGGTTCAGGAGCATGACCTGCTCATACTTTGTGCTGTGTTTTGCCATTTTGTGACTTGTAGAGCCAATGTCCTTGAGCCATTTTATGTTTTCGTGGGCAGTTTGTACTAAACGTCATCATGGCCTTTATCATTACAGAAGTTTTGACAACGGCTGCTCTTTATGTATTGCCGTCGTTGGTTAAGGAGAGAAGCTCTGCCTTTCTCTACCCACATGTAAGTTTCAGGGACCAATCTTGTTCTTCACAGTTTATAATGTAATTGCAGCTTTTTAAATGACTTTGAAGCAGTCTATATACATTCTTACCTGGCTCTTATAAGGCGGCACTAAATTTCTTTTTATGGTGGTAACTTCATCTACACACTCTAAGGTTTTAAAAACCCTGAATTGTGTTGTGTGGGAATATTTATGCAGCGCGGTTTTTGTCTGCATTCAAGTGTTGCGACATGTCTCGCACTGTAGATTAGAAATTTAGCCAAAGCAGTACAACCGCCAGCCTGGGGTCTTTACGTACGTAATGCAGTAGTGAAACACGAACGTGTGCCGGTACGATGCTCATCCAGATTGAAGCGGGTAGGGGTAGGGACTGAACCCAGGATCCCTGGATTCTGCAGCGCAAGCTTTCGCTACACATACTCCTAGCTGCGACACGGTGCGCTAGGCCACCGATCCCCCCTTAAAAACCTTGGAATTGCAATAATCTGTGGCTTATTCCCATATTCATACCTGCCAACTCTTCTGAGTTTCCGAATTTTGCTTCAAATCTTACGAAAACATTTTTTATTTATTTTTTTTAATTCGTTGTTGGCAGTATCTTGCACCACCACAAGAGGGCGATAGGTACTGTCCACGGCAGCGTCGTGGTCCTTACCGTCTTTACTATCCGTGTATCCGGTGGCCACGGATCGGTCCACAGGTTGGCAGGTATGCATATTAGAAAGGTGACCAAACATCGTTACACGCCCCTTGTTCTGAGATATATTGCAGAGTGAAGTTGCCAAGAAAAAGGGAGCTCCTCGACTAATTGAAAGCAATAGCCTGCGGTTACCCATTTTATGACCTTGCCACACATTTTTTTATCAAGTTGACAGCTCATCATCAGAAGGTCTCTGTTGTAGATACAGTCTTTTGGGCATTGTGTCCAAGGTTGGCTTAAGGGTTAAATCTGTCTTCTTTTGGGGGACTGGATTTTGTGTGTTAAGTGACCAGCCGTTCGAAGAAAATGTTTCGATAACTATGTATGAGGGCAGTTTCAAAATTTCAGAGCAAACAATGACCTAGATTTATATTGTAATTAGAGTTCTAGCTGGTTGCAGTGATTATATGTAGTGGCCATAGCTCTGAAACATTACGCGTTACTTGGACAAATAGTGTCGTATTTCTCGGCTTTACATTGTCATGCTCTAGGCATATACGTTTAGTGTCCAGATCGTCACAATTTCAAATGGCATTTTCATACTCCCCATGCCTGCACTGATCACTGAACAAGCACATTTGAACTTTAATATGCATGTACATGGTAACTGAATAAAGAAACAATTTGTTTTCCAGAACAATATTATCCCCCAAAAAATTATTTTGAGTTAGAAAGCGAATAACGTGTGCCGAATTCAACAGAACTGAAAACGCTAAACCCATGTATATTGCATCGGACGCTGTAGGAATATTTAGGATCCATTTGAGAACTCAAAATGCCAAAAATATTAGAAGAATTACTATAGCACATTGAATTTCAATGCTGTGTGTCCTCACTTCCTACTCTTCTTACTGCTGTTATATTTTTTTTTTGCATTTATCTCTGCATTTTTACTTAGGTGCTTGCATTAATTTTTATGTCTGGTGTAGTAAGTGCTTTGGAAGTGTACATATATGATTTTATGTAATCCTGCTTTTTTGCACCATGCAGATTTGGTAAATTATTCACAAAATGTGTGCATCTTAAAATTTTGAGCTCTGCGAAACCGGAACACACCTATCTTTGTCTTGCACTGCTGTAAGCTGCGGCAAACCATGACATTATATCCATGGTGACCGTAGCTGACTTGACATGGCATTAGTAAAAAAGAGAGCGTGGTAGTGGTAGCAGAGGAATGTCATAATGCACCTTGCACTACATTGTTGTGCTCAGTGCGCAAGAGCTTAGGGCACGTAGAGTGGTAGGTCATATTGCGGAACCCAGGGAGACATTGTTCAATTTCTGTCTATTTTAATCTGAATGAGTATCATACTGGCATTTGTTTGTGTATCTACTATGTGAGCGTGTTCTCAATCCTATGTTAGCAGTCTTACTGTGCTCACCAAATCACCCATCTACTGCAGAGAACTTATCTGGCCCTTTTTCAGGGCTGACTAACTTCATGTTGTCTAAACATCTGCGCAACACAACTTTTTGGGTGGAATGCTTGGCACTTTGTCTCACTTATACAATAACATAATTACAAAAGAAAATTCAGAATTTGGAAATGTGTGCCATGCTATTTGTTAATATAATGCTTATTTTTTTACATTTCTTTAGGACCCAGACGCACTTCAAGCGTACCCAGCAGTGAGCTATGAGGAGAACGTCTATGAGTCGTCATCGTTCGTTGTGACCGTGGATGGACTTCATGTTAAGGAAGACTCGCTGCTGGCTGCAATTACAACCATGACTGCCATGTATTGGGTGTTCAATATGGAATTTAGTACAAGAGCCTCCAAGACAATGCAGTTAATGTCACATGTGTTTGGGGTTAATTCTGGCATCCCAGCTAGCCCTTTGGTGCGGGTGGCCATAGGTATTCTTTGTGGCTAGGTTATCCCACCGGCAGCTGTACACCTTTAAAGGTTTCTTTTTTATGAATTTCAGGCCAAATTTTAATGAGAAAACTTTCCACCACAGAGCAAAGAGGTTGATCTAATTTTTCTATCTAAAACAATTAAGGTGGGAGGCTGGTCTTTAACTTTTCGTTTTTTATTTTTCATTTATCGGGCTGAAATTTAGTAACTTATGTATTTCTGAGTGGTGATTTCAAATAAGCAATTAGTTTTCAGATAGCTTCACTAGATTTTGAGTTATTAATAAATTTATCATTTTAACTAGGTCCTCCTTACGGGCCGTTACCATAAAATTGTCAGAATATATCATAAATATCTATAGAATTGCATTGACCAAGACATGTTTTGTGTGGTGATGCTATTTTAAGCCAGATTTAATGATAATCGGTAAAAAACATTTGCAATCAAGTTGCACAAAACGGGAGGCTCTATCTTTTTGAGACTAATTAATTAAAATTATTGTATGAGCTATAAAGCAACAAAAATAGCATCACCGCACAAAACATCACTTGGTGATTTCAATTCTATAAATATGACTGATATATTCTGAAGAATTTTACGGTAACGGCCTGTAAGCAGGACCTAATTAAAATGACAAATTTATTGATAACTCAGGATCTACTAAAGCTACCTGAAAACTAATTGCATATTTGAAATCACCACTCAGAAATACATCCGTATACTAAGTTTTAGCACGATAAATGAAAAATAAAAAAACATGAAGTTAAAGACCAGTTTTCCCCCTTAATAATGTTTGGAATAAAAAGGTGTTCAGCGTTTTGATCAATTTGCTTTTTAATTAACAAAGCTACAAGCATAAATCAATTAAGAAACTTGGGCATCACCGAAATTACTAAATCTTTGTACTTCAAAAAGATGCAACATGCATGCCACATTTTACAGTATCCAGAAGAAAATGTGCTCTATGAAAGCACCTTAAATTTACGCTTTAATGATACTTTTTTCAGGACGTTGTAAGAATGCTATGCACGCATACCTTTGTAAAGTGAGGCAGTTTAGTGGTATTGCATTATACGTAACGAGCTTTTAATTTTCATTTAAGTATGCTCTTATTTTTGTTATTTAAAAGTTAATTATTTGTAAATAATTAACTACCTTTATATTCCCTAGGCTATTCATTTTCCTACGTTTGGCCTTATGACATCAGCCTTTTGCTGTGGGTGCATAGTTCTGGTGGGAACAATTTGGCCTGCACTTTCTGAAGCACTTTGTAGTTTTATACTTCATCTTGTTTCCAGAATTTCCATTTCACTATTTTTATTTTTTTATTTACTTATATCATTGTCTCCTGATGTTCCAGAATGTCATTTTATTCTTTTCACACCACATGTGCAATGTTTTTTGTTAAGAATTTAAACTTGCAAAGGCTCTGAACTAGTGCTGTGCTTTGTAGCACACTGTGATAGAATTCGGGCTCACTGTACTAATTTTGTAATTTTTTTTAATGTTTTGAACTGCAGTTCTTGACTTTGCATCATGCATAAGGAAGGCATGAGGAATTCCATCTTCTTAATTTGTTTTTTATCAATGTCAGATTACATCATGTTTTATGTGTTTTACATCAGATGTGCATTGTTTTTGTTTAGAATTCAAGCTTACCTATAGTCTGATCTATAGTCATTGACAGGTTAAGAACCCAGTACAAGCCCCCCCCCCCCCCCCCCCCCCCCCTTTCCTAAAGCTGTCTAGTCTTATCACCTCAGCGCAGCAATTGCTGGAGATGGTTCGAGGAGGGACTCACCTCCTCTCCAGCATTTGCTCAAGTGGTGTAGAGCTTTGCGGGGCAGCTTGTCCTGGGTTCTCAACCTGTCCCTGACTATAGTGCCGTGCCTGCAGTGCACCCTGTGATAGAACTCCAGCCCACTGCCACTTTCTTTGTCTTTTGTTTACTTGTTTTACTTATTGGATGTGTTCGTAATTTTCATTTTCACAGTTAGCTTTTACTTTTTTTTATTTTCTTATATCAGTCTCTCTTAATGCCCCAGAATAAGTCATATTTTATGTTTTTTCACCCCATATGTGCAGTGTTTTTTCTTTAGATTTCAAACTTGAACGGGCTGAATTAACTGGTGCATGCTGTGATACAACTGAAGCTCACTGTACTACTTGCATTGTATTTTGTTACATGTTTTTAACAGCAGGTCTCAAATAAAGGTGTGATTGACTTGAGCTGCAAACTGAAAAACCATCGAGGCAACAGGAGTGCATCTTCAAGCGTACAGCTTGTCCTAGGGGACAAAAAGCAAGGGCTCAAATATTTGTCCCTATAGAACAAATGTAATGGATTAACATTTACTCCTTCGGGATTAATATTTAGTCCTGTGGGACTGAATGTGTGGGATTAACATTTAGTCCTAGGGGTCTAAGGGGTGGGTGCATGTGTTAGTCCTAGAGGACTAAACGGAAGGGCACTACTGTTAGTCCCAGGGGTCTAAATGCAAGAGCGCAACAGTTAGTCCTAGGGGTCTAAGTGGTGGGTGCATCTGTTAGTCCTAAGGGACTAAATGGAAGGGCGCTACTGTTAGTCCCGTGCAACAGGTAGTCCTAGGGGGACCAACTGTGAGGGACTATCCTTAAGGGTGCAACATTTGCTCCCATCCCCGTTAGTCCCCAAGGGGACTAATGGTAGTGTCAGCGCATTTACTCCCCGAAGGGACTAAATCACGCTCCCTTTTTTTCTTATAGTGTAGTGTCATGGGGGCGTCGGGAGAAGAAGAGGACGACCGAGCGAGGCGCGAGCGGGGGCCAGCCGGCGAGGAAAGAGGAAGAGCGTGCTGCACGAGGCTGGGGCCGGGCAGGAACGATAGGGCCGTTCTGGCTGGTCCGGCCCATGTCGATCCCCGGAGTATTCCACCAGCGAGGTTCGGATCAGGACTGGCGGAAATGGCGAGCCCTTGCTATACCGTCCTAGGCCATGACGGTCCAGGAGTGGTTGTGCAGTGAGACTCTGACTGTGATAGCCCGGAACAGCTAGCCAGCCAACGCAGCGCTGGCGTGGGAAAGACGATCCGCAGGCCTGGACACGGACTCCGACTGCGAGCTATGAAGGACGGGCAACAACTATAGTTGTTGCCTGTCGTTCACATTTTATGTTGCCCGCCGACCATATATGGTCGGCGGGTCCGACTGCCGGCTCTCGAAGACGGGCAACCGTGAAGTGCAGTAAACCCATTCGCTGCCTTCTCAAACCGATCGGGCGGCGATTATTATAGAGCGACCCCACAAGTGGTGAAGACAACTCAAACCGGTGTTCAAATGACAACCCTTAGCGAAAAACCGGGGCTCTTAGAGTATACTTTATTTGCACTTCCAGAAGTATGCTTGTTGCTCTAAATTGGCCGGTTTTTAGTATACTTCTGACGCACTTCAAAGTAGCATTTCGCCATACTTTTAGTATACTTCTAAGCATACCTGTAAGAGGCATTTTAGTATACTTCTTACGCACTTCAAAAGTAACATTTCGCTATACTTTTAGGATACTTCTAAGCATGCCTGTAAGAGGCATTTTAGTACACTTCTTACGCACTTCAGAAGTAACATTTCGCCATCCTTTTAGGATACTTCTTCTAGTACACTTCTGAGCAGAATTTTAGTATGCTTTTATGCAGGCCTTTAGTACTATAAATTGTACCCCGGATTAAATTTGGAAGCAGGCTTTCAAATATAATCGGGGGTACACTTAATAGAACTTTTAAAGCATTTCACCAATTTATTCCTGACCAATTCCAGATAAGAAAAGTAGAAAATTATATTGATTTAGCAATTGCAGTGGTTTGCAGTTATCGAAACTGAAATGCATTATGTTACAGGCTAGTTCAAAGTGATGACAAATTAAAGTAAGAACTTTTTATTAGACAAATATTTTTTTCAATAGAATGAACACATGTTGCCTACAACAAACACTTACGATGGAACAAAAAACGTAATACTTTTAGTGGCTTACAAATATCACAGATGCACTTAAAGCTTCATAAACAAGCTCTTATTAGAAGAAAAAAATAATTATAAACTATCATGCTGAAGAAAAACGAGCAAAAATAGTATTGCACCTGTTAATATAAAACCTACAATATTTATCATCTACCATGACTGAAGTAACATCACCTACATGACTGAAGTAAAATGAATGAAAAAAGTTAATGCACTTGTTAAATAAAATCCAAATTAATCGCTAATCAGATTTAAGAGAAAAAAAAAGCCAATGCGCAAAATAAATGAAAATGAAAGCTAATTTTTTTTTTTTTTCATTCTGCAGTTTTCTTTTGCGTGTTGGAGGCTTTGTTTTGAGTGTAGGAAGCATTGCTGCACTTCCTTCACAGGTATTCTTTCACGGACTTCCGAGTTTCTCCAGGGAATTGGCAGTAACAAAAGCTGAAAAGAGAAGACAATAGACAATTAAGGAACTTGCCTTAAGACTCCATATTTACTTAATACTACTTAAAATTATACTTCAGGTCCACATAATTTTAGAAAATTTCACAAAAAGAAACCAACAACAAAAAGTTAATCATCTAAATATATTGAGCACGGGGACCAATGACTATGTTTATTGGCAACTGTGAAATATTGCTGCTGTGAAATAATGTAAAACAAGGCATTTCGTCAATTTGCAATGCATTAAAGGGATCATGAAACAAGTTTACTGTGGAAACAGTCTGGAGCTCGTTACTTTTATTTCTTTTACCTTATCACAAGTACGAGAAAACACACCGTGATCCCTCAAAATGTCGCGAGTGCACTGCGTAATCAGAAAGGAAAAAAGGGTCCATTTTTCATCATGCAGCTTATGGTGGCCACAGGAACTACTGTCTTGGCGCCAATATTGGTTGAGTTTGCGGGTTGAGCAGGTATCTGCCCAATTTGAAGCTAAGGTTTTTATAAAAGTTGTCATTCACTCATTTGGCCCCCAATTCATGTCACACGCACGTGACCTGGAAAGGACTCTAAAGGTTGAGG